ATCGAGTGTTCGAGAAGAACCGTCACTGATACTGACCAGAGCCCAGAGAGCGGCCTTCAGCTGTTTGATGCCCTCCCAGGTGTCCAGCATCGGGGAGCGAACCGTGTAGCTGAGGTCAGGAACCACGCTCTGAGGAGGAAACATCAACATCAGGAGGAGGAGGTCCAAACAAAACCCCAGAGAGAGAGAGAGAGAGAGAGAGAGAGAGAGAGAGAGAGAGAGAGAGAGAGAGAGAGAGAGAGAGAGAGAGAGAGAGAGAGAGAGAGAGAGAGAGAGAGAGAGAGAGAGAGAGAGAGAGAGAGAGAGAGAGAGAGAGAGAGAGAGAGAGAGAGAGAGAGAGAGAGAGAGAGAGAGTTTACCTGAGCCTCCAACAGGTGACAGCCCGTCTTATCGTGGACCAGCTGACCGTACAGGTGGACAGGCAGATAGACATTTGGTCTTTGTAACCTGCAGGTACAAACAGGAAGTATGAGACACTCGCAGCTCCACGGGGTTAAGGTTAGAGGTCATAAACTCCTCCTCTGACCTTTGGTTGCTTCGGCGGACGTAGTTGTCTCCATCCACAGGTTTGCGGTACGTTGTAAGTGCTTCGTTGAGCTGCTCCTCGATCAGGTCCACGTACTTCAGGTTGTATTCCTAAAAGCGGAGATCTCTGTTACTCTGAGGTCTTTTTGGAGAAGAAAGGAGGTTTCGAACCCGAGTTTTACCTTCTGCCATTTATCCAGCTGTTTGCTGACGTAGCCTCTCTCGTTGAGGTAGGAGAACCCTTTAGGAATGGACAGGAACCTGACCAGAACACACAACAGCGGAGAACTTTTAAAAGTGCTCCTCAACATCATGAAACACCATCGTGGACAGAGAGAAGGTCAAACACCCACCGGAGGAGCAGCAGGAGGCCCTTATCCCCCAGGTGGGACAGAGCAGGTTTCAGCTGGATCAGAGCGTGGAGGTTAGCCTGAGGAACCAGAGAGGAACCGGGTCAGACATGAGGGTCGGTTAAGAGACCAGACCGAAACCTCAACATGGACTAGAAATAAACGAAGAACCCTGATCCTGAAAACGATCCGTGTGACTTCTGTCCTCACCTTGTCCTCGCAGGCCTCGTCCAGGATGTCCAGAGCCTCCATGGACACGGCCTTACTGTGATCGTGGAGCTGTGTGACCAGCAGCTCCATCCCCCAGCTGCTGAAGAACTCCACGCTCGCACGCAGCAGGACACGGAGGTGTTTGGTGGCGTACAACCTGCAGGTCTGAGGAGGAGGAGGAGATACGAGGGCGTTACTGACAGGAGGTGTGGGAAAACGAGAGAGGAGGAGCTTCCTTTATGGACACTGATCAGCCTGAACATGAAGACCACCCGCCAAAGGTGGACCCACTTCACACGTACATCAGTAGCAGCAGTGAGGATCTTGGAGAGGATCACTCTGGCCAGACCGTCTCTGCTGTAGTCCAGTGTGGAAACCGCCAGTTTCAGCACGGCGTCCTGGTTCTTCACCGAGCACAGGTTCAGCAGGCTGTGGAGACAGAAGAAGACCTGGTTCAGATCCAGAACTAAGGCGTCAGCTCTTCAACGTCCCACCCTGAGGTCCTCTGAGGAGCTCTCACCACTGGAACAGGCCACATTTCTCCAGCAGTTTGACTCCCTGCGGGTGAGCCGAGAGCGTCCCCAGGAAGAGGAAGTAGTGTTGGCTGAGCGTGGTGAGCAGACCGTTACTCTGCAGACAGCGCTCCGGCTTCAGCCCTGAAGACGAGGACAACCACGACACCATGTCCCTCACCAGGTCCTCCAGGTACCCCTGACCGTCCTGGAGACATTTTGAAAACCAGGATTGATCAAAGGAGCAGAGATGAAAACAGGAAGGTCGTTTTTTTTAATCATGTCGGCGTCTCTGACCTCGTCTGAGTCCATGAGGAACTCCACAAACTGACAGCCCACCACAGTGAGCTGTCTGGACTTTGGGTGATCCAGCGCCAGGCCCGCGTATAATTTACTACTGGGTTTATAAAAGTACAGCAGCCTCCGGACAAACCTGCAGAAGACAGACGGAGACGTTTGGATCATGAAGCAGCAGAAAAATGAGTTTAAAACGAAGACGAGAAAGAGTCTCACTTGTGCATCTGTTCATCTTTGTTGTTCCTGAGGTTCACGTTCGGCCACTGAGAGAGAAAAAAACAAAGATCAGAGAAGAACCAGAGAGGAGAGAGTCTGAGGACCACACCAGGAGGAGGAGAACCTCACCTTCAGGATGGTGGCGATGAGCAGCCAGTTCCACTCCAAGTTCTGTTTGTGGTTCAGGATGTGACTGTCCCTCAGGTTCATCATCAGAGCTTCCTCCGTGTCCTGAACACAAACACAGAAAACATCAACCAGGCGAGAAAAGAAGAGTTTGATCTCCGAGGAACCGAATCTGAACTCTTGAGGTCTCTAAGAATCTCCTCAGACTGGGAGCTCTGTGAGCGTGGACACAGATCTGCCTCATGTTGGGTTAACAGATGAAGAAGTTCATCACAAACACTGAGAAGAACGAGGACCACCTGACCTCCTTCAGACCACCTTCATCTGTGGACTTACTTTGATGACGTAGATGTCTCTGTGCGCTCGAGAGTGCGACTCTCGGCGGCTGTGTGACGACACGGACTTGCGGATGATGTGGTCCAGATACAGACTGTGAGGTTTCAGACCTTTCTTCTTCTTCTCGTGGAAACGCTTCAGATTGTTGACCGCCGCGCTGGCCCGACTGTCAGAGGAACAAAAACAGGAGAGGTGTGTGTCAGGACGGCGTCGACGATTCAAAGTCTTCGATGAATCAGACTCCAACTCTGCGTTTTAACTCACAGCCGTTTCTCCTGAGCGATGTCGAAGGAGGCCGCCATGTTGATGAGGGTGGGGAGGCAGTGCAGGTGGTGGCTGTGGGAGTGAGGGAGGATGGTGTTCGCCTGGAGGAGAGGTGAGAAGAACCGAACAGAGACGAGTGAAAAACAAGAGAGAAGTCCACCATCTTCAAAGATCTGACCCTGAGCGGACAGACGTGTGGCGGCGCTTCTTCTCTAACTTTACCATATGTAGAAGCTCTCCCAGGAGGATGGTCGCTCTGACCGCCAGCTGGTCGTCGCTGCTGGTCACAACCTCAACAAGACCCTGAAACGAGGAGAGAGGAGAGGATGAAGCTCGACAGGAACACTCGACATGGTCCACAAAGAGGAGAACTCCAAACCAGATCTGAGCTGACCTCTAACAGACCGCTGCTGATGAACGCCGACAGGACAAACGCCAGGTAGTTGTCCATCAGATCAGGCCTGAGGAAGAAAACAGAAAAAACACTTAGAGGAAGAACGAATATCAGAAACTGTGTCAGCGCTCTTCTTCTTCTTCTCTCCGATGATCTCTCACCTGGAGCGCGCTCGATGAGGAAGGACGACTTTAGCCTCAGCAGCAACAAACCCGTCAGAGAGCCTCCAGGTGTCCTGAAACCGGGCCGGGTCTGAGGGGGCGGAGCGAAAATGAGCTTTATTCTGAGTGTGTGTGTGTTTGTGTGTGTGTGTGTGTGTGTGTGTGTGTGTGTGGCATTTATATAAAACACACAAAGTTACAAAAATGCTGTGAGGAAGTTTTGGAGGTTCTGCTCACCGACACTGAGAAGACCTTCTGTGAAGTCTTGAGTGACGATGGGCAGCGGGAGTCTGAAGATCTCGTATAAGACCTCCAGCAGACCTTTCTGTAGAGCGAACCGGGTCAGAACCATCAGAGAAACGCAGAACAAACATTTACAGACGATCAAAACAGAAAACCTCATTTCTTCATGAGCGCTCAGTGTCTGAGGACGAGTCCAGAGGAAACAGAACGACGGTCTGTGAATCTGTGAGGTCTACAACCTTATTTATAAGCTATAAAATAACCTCTTCTTATTTTGAGGCTCATTTTGTGTTGATTTTTGTCTCTAACTGCAGAAAGATCTGGAACAGAAGTCGTCGACTTGGGGACCAACAGTCGAACTCTAAAGGTTTTAGTCAGCTGTTCAGTAAAGGCCAAAGTGTCCTAAAATGTGTCTCTAAAAAAAGCTGTTTCTCACACACACACACACACACACACACACACACACACACACACACACACACACACACACACACACACACACACACACACACACACACACACACACCTCCTGACCTGCAGCTGGATCAACACTCACCCGAACCTCCATATTTGGTATGCACAGTAAACCAATTAGAGATTGGATCCCCGAGTTTCCAGCCTTGCATAGGTTGATAATCCCTGAGTAAAGAAAAGAGGGATTATAATTCAAAAAAACAAGTCGACCTTTTGTCTCAAATTCAGATTTTTATTCTGACGTCTGAGTCCTTACCAGACCAGGAGCGGAAGGCGGCCACGATCGCCATTCTGCTGGACAAGAACCGGGACTCTCTGTCCTCCCTTTAGGCGAGGAAAGACACACACACACACACACACACGTCATCATGAAGATCTTAGTGAGGCTCTAAAACAGAAACTCACAGAGGATCAAACTTCCCAACATCAAACGCCGAGCGGAGGAGAATCGATAAAAGATCTTTTTTTTCTGTCAAAGGAAATCTTTCAGAGTCACTCCGAGGATTATCCGGACTTTGACCCGCGTCACATCCTCGGGCCAGTCATGCTGGAGTCAAACCGCCCGGATAACAAGGACTCACATCACAAAAACACAAAAACACACAGACCCGCGACTCGCAACGCAGAATGTGTTACCAATATAGGAGCAGAGCTACCGGTAAACACAGGAGGATGACAAAACACTGTTTGTTTGTGCGGCCACACTCTTCATACCTCTACACACACACACACACACGCACACACACACACACACACACACACACACTTACTTGAGCTGCCCTTCAGCCATTTCTGCGTTGTGGCGGTAGTGAAAGTCTGTGAAAGGTGCGAGGATTTGCTGGAGGAACAAAAAAAAAACAAGGATGATCATTCAGAGAAGAACTCTTCATTATATTTATACTTATTTTATATTAAATTATATTATATTATATTGTATTTTATTATATGATATTTTTATGTGATTCCCTGATGTTGTCCCGATTTATTCTCTGTTGAAGAAACCAAAATCAAAACTCTCATCAGTATTTCAGACGATGAAGCTTCAGAGGAACTCTGGAGCTGAAGGACGAGTTCATGAGTCCCGACAGAGGGGCTCGTTTTATTCACAGAGACCCCCGAGTTCATAGATCTGAGTGTGTGTGTGTGTGTACCTCCAGTTCCACGTCCACTCGGACGTACTGGCGTGTGCGTGGGTGGTTGAGTAGATGGAGGACGGTGGTGATCAGAGCTTCGTTGATGCGGCTCAGCTGACAGTCGATGACGCTCTTCAGGATGGTGCTGAGACCTCCACGTTTGGCCACCACCTCCGGGTTCTTCAGAGCTGCAACCGGGTTCAGAGGAGTGTTCAGACTTTTGATTTCAAGACTTTATTTACAGTTTTTCATTTAACAAACAAAAACAAACATCTCCGTCACCAGCCCGGCGCCATGGGAGACGAGAAAATAAAGACAATATAAGAGAAGCTCCAAGAGGAGGATCCCTGACACCACAAGAGCCAATCAGCACGTAGATCCCCGACTGTGTCACCAATAAGAATCTTGACGCGACTCTGAAGCGTCAGATTCTCTTTTTTTATTGTCAACCTCCATGAGAGCTTCAGTGTCTGCTCCAAACAAGTCAGGTTCAGATACTCACCCAGCTCACACACGATGGCGATGGCGGCGCGGACCATGCGGTCTCTCTCCTGGAGCCCATCGGTGCCCACAGCGATCAAAGAGTTCGCAATGGAGGTGGGGAAGAGCATGGCGTTGACAGTGACAATCTGCAGAGGGAGGGGGACACGAGACACGAGGAACACGTCAGGACAGAGACGGACGCTCAACTCCAAAACTGTTTCACTGCTTTAATGTTCAAAATCCTCTTTTTTTTAACCTCTGGGTGTCACGTCATCTGAAGGTCTGATATTTGTGTGTCATGTGATCAGAGCTGTATGTCATGGTCGATGCACAGAGGTTGTATTTCTGCTTAGTCCTCATGAAACCAGAGCCCGACTCTGTGAGTGTGTGAGTGTGTGAAGAGAGTTTACAGTAAACTACAGAAAGAGCTAAAAATAGAGAGAGAGAGAGAGAGAGAGAGAGAGAGCGCCCGCAGACGGCTGCTAACCAGTTAGAAGGAAAACAGCTGAGCGGGCGGAGGGCAAAGGTCACAGCTGACAGCAGACACAAGAAGAAGTCAGACGTTACCTTTCGGACGAGTCTGAGGGCCTGAGTCCGCTCGCCCTCGTTGCTCTGCTGGATGTCGATGCATCTGAAAAACACAGAGTCAGGATTAGTCAGAGGAGCGAAGACTAAAGTGAAAACGGATCAGGTCCTCTCTGAGAGTGACAGTGGGACTGAGACGGCAGACCAGGATCTCACCTTGATATTAAATAGTCCACCTGTAGTCTGAGGACCTTCTGCAGCACACTCGTGTCTCTGATGAGGTAGCGGAGCGACCGCAACCCTGCAGCCCGAACTTCCTTCGCTTCATTCAGCAGAGCGAGCCGCAAACTGGGGGGTGAAAGTTTGACAATGAAAAACCTGATCCGGATTAAAAAGATCCTACAGCAGTGAACGCACCACGATAGAACTGAACAGAACAGAACAGAAAAAAATGGATTAGAATATAATAAAATAGAATTGAATAGACTAGTATAGAATGAAATGGAAAAGGATAGAATAGAGAAGAATGGAATAGAACAAACCAGAACAGAATGAATTAGAATAGAACAGAATAGAATAGAATAGAATGGAATAGAGTAGAATAGACTAGGATAGAATAGAATGGACTAAAATAGAACAGAATAGAATGGAATAGAAATGGACAGAATAAAATAGAATAGAGTAAGATAGATGGGTTAAAATAGAACTGAACAGAATAGAACAGAAAAAAATGGATTAGAATATAATAAAATAGAATTGAATAGACTAGTATAGAATGAAACAGAAAAGGATAGAATAGAGAAGAATGGAATAGAGTAGAATAGAATAGAATGGGACAGAACAGAATGAATAAGAATAGAATAGACTAGAATAGAATAGAATGGACTAAAATAGAACAGAATAAATTAGAATAGAACAGAATATAATGGAATAGAAATGGATAGAATAAAATAGAATAGAGTAAGATAGATGGGTTAAAATAGAACAGAATAGAATAGAACAGAATAGAGTGGCCTTTATTGTCATCATGTAGGATTATACACAGCGAACTCAGAGGCTTCTCTGAATGTGTGTTAATATATAAATATAGGATCTATAATACTATATATCTATAATACTGATGCTTTTACATCTGAAAACTTGACTTCAATTTTGTTTCATTTGGTCTCATATATAATAAGGTAATAAAGGGAAATGGCGCCCCATACTGCAGAGTCAGTATCTAAGAGCTGCTGATGAAAACTCACCAAATGATGATTTCTTCGTACGTGTACCCAAAGTTCTCCTCACGGTGATTTATGCTGCATAGAAGCTGAAACACAGAGACATGAGGAGAATCTAAGTGAATGATTTCAAACGTCTGGATGACTTTAGTCTTTACTTTCTGTGACTTTAGTCCAGGAGGAAACAGGAACATGTTTTTTTTTTCATGTTTAACGGTGAGAATCTTTGAAAAAGCTAAATTCACTCTCTAAACACAGAAGCAGCTCCACACTGTCCGACCCGCTGCAGCAGGAACCATGCAGGTGTGTGTTTGTTGTATTTTTCCACTTGTCTGTTACATGCTGACTTGTTTGGAGCAGGTGAGTCGTGACTGGATCATGTTATGCTTTCACTGCTGGTGGATGGAGGTTACTCTGACTAACTCGGGGGACAGCACATTCACATTCACATGGACAGGAGCGGGTGTAGCAGCTGCCTGGTCCAGCGTTTGTGGTTCTGTAAATATGAAAATGGACTTTTGAAGTTGATCAGGTCCGCTGAATTCTTCTGCTCCTGTTTCCTCCATCACACCAGGTCTGACTCGAACCCGGTTGTTATCATGAATTGCAGCTCAAAGTCTCTCTCTGTCAACAGCTCCTCCATCATTAACAGAGGCCCACACAGAGCTACTGTATACAGGATCCAGACTGTATGTACACGACAACAAGTCATTATGAGAAGTCTTCAGCAACAGTCTGGGTCAGCCGACACCAGAGTTACTCCCGTCTGAAACTCCGTGTGCGCAGAGCAACAATTTCACACCAACAATCAGACATTAAACTTTTAACAACGATGGTTTAAGGTTAGTCTGAGCGCAGACACTGTTTGTGTTTTTCTGCTGCTGTGGAGGAACTTCAATAGTTTTTTAAAATGGGTCAAGAAGACAAAGACTCTTCTGATTCTTCTGTTTCTTTTTGTTTATTTCTCACATGATCGTTTCTGTCAGACAATAAAAAAGTGATTTAACGCTCACTGTGTCTTAGACAGAGGACGCTGCTGTTTCAGAGCTGAGGCACTCTGTAAACAAACCTCGAGGCTTCACCTGAAAAATCCAGGATTTGTTTGAACTTCAACTGTAACAAGCCCTTTCTGATTTAAAATGTGGTTTACCGGCGCTTCGGGCCGTCTAAAGACACTTGATCCAGCAGAGGGAGCTCTCACTGTAACCTGACCGCTGAATGACACTCTTGACTTTCATGGATTAACACAGAAGTGGACGGTCATGACACCGACTCCTCTATGGAGCACGTCATGGAAGTGTTTTAGGTTCTCCTCCACAGACAGGGAGATAAAACGCTGAGGCAGGGCGGCGACGTGTCCACTTTGGACGAGGAGTCTTTCTTTTCAGTGACAACGAATCAGCCATCTCAAATATTTGGGAAGAGAAGATTAAAGAAGAATAAACAACACCGCCAAGAAGTCTGAGAGGACTTAAAAACAAAGATCAATAAAGTTATTCACAGACTCATTCTGCAGAGCCTCACCGTGTTTCCACATACAGTCTGTCCTTTTGGAGAAAGACAGTTTGATATTCTAAGTTTGATAACCTTTAGAACGACTACTGTTTCATATTCAAGATTACTCACATTTGTGACTGTAAATAGATGTGTGCGAATTATAAAATGTAGTTAGGTGTGCATAAAAAAAAAATCTGCCAAAGTAACAAATGTTTTTTTCCTGTAAATACGGCGGTGAAGTTAGTTTCAGGTTGGATATATTTTCCTGTAAATACGGCGGTGAAGTTAGTTTCAGGTTGGATATATTTTCCTGTAAATACGGCGGTGAAGTTAGTTTTAGGTTGGATATATTTTCCTGTAAATACGGCGGTGAAGTTAGTTTCAGGTTGGATATATTTACCTGTAAATACGGCGGTGAAGTTAGTTTCAGGTTGGATATATTTTTTCCTGTAAATACGGCGGTGAAGTTAGTTTCAGGTTGGATATATTTTCCTGTAAATACGGCGGTGAAGTTAGTTTCAGGTTGGATATATTTTCCTGTAAATATGGCGGTGAAGTTAGTTTCAGGTTGGATATATTTTCCTGTAAATACGGCGGTGAAGTTAGTTTTGGGTTGGATATATTTTCCTGTAAATACGGCGGTGAAGTTAGTTTCAGGTTGGATATCTGACGGACATTCTCTGAGGATCTACCGGTGTCTTCTCACTCTCCATGACCGGGAATAACAACAGCAGCGCGGTTAAATCTACTCGACACCCTCACTGTCAACGTTGGTGTTGAATAAGGGACTGTCAATAAATTACCGGTTGATGTTCTCAGAAAAGGCTGTTTTCCTTCAATAGCTTCACTGTCATGTGACCAAAAGACCTAAAAGTGATTTCTAATAACAGTACTTACGTCGACTAATAAGACAAACATGGTAACACAGTTCATCAAACATCATCATGACGAGTTTAAAATTCATCTGAACTTTTTAAAGTTTTTAAATTTAAGTCACAACAGAACCGCTCCAGCAGGAAAAACCGACCCTGAACAATCACAGCGGTCCAGTGGCGAGGTTCTGTGAAAACTGGGATGGGTGACACAGCGTGGCGAGTTTGGGGGGGTGGGGGGGTGGGGGGGTGTTTTGAAGCAGCTGTGATGTCAGAGCCCAGGCAGGCATGGTAGGGGGGGCTGTGGCTGTCTCCAGGGCGAGGGGGATTAGGTCACCCTCACTGTCCTGAAACCCTTATAAGGAGACATGGAGCTCCGTCAGACGTAAACACACACACACTGAATTCAGCCTTTAGCACACAACTGCGTCTGCTGCTGACCCACAACTGTTTGTAACAACAGCACCAACACTCCATCAGAACCTCTCCATGACAGACAGAACCCTGAGCGTGTCCCTCTGACGCCTGCAGCTGATGTTCACTCCGTCAGCTCTGTAAAGCGTCTGATATTTCTGCAGAAAAATGACAGTCAGCAGAAATAAGTGTTCAAAACAAAAACACGGTTTTCCCCTCGTGCTTCAGTTTCTTTTCTGCAAGTCATGTTTTCACTTTGCACACGCTGTTATTCCTGTGAAAAAATAACAGGAAGCCTGGAGACTAAGCAAGAATCTGTTGGGTGGACGGCAGAAAAACACCCCTGAGCGATCACTGGTCCATAACAGAGCGGACCCAGGGCATGTCAACAGAGAGGAAAACACTCAGAGCTCTGTTTACACGGGAGAACAGCTCCCATCTGCACTCAGTTTTAAAAGGTGTCCAAAAAGACTTATCCGTCCTCACCGAGAATCCTTAAATCTGTGAGTGACAGACGTGTCTGATGATCTCTGTGTTGATCGCTGTCGTTGATACTGAAAATGATGATGTTCAGGATGGTTTAGGAAATCTCTGCCCCTGACTGAGACATGCTGCTGTTTATCACAACCCTTTTAAAGACCTGGTACAGAGATTGGGACTGGGTGATTTGGCAAAAAAATGATCACGATATATTTTGTCATATTGTCTGATCTCAATTATTAACACCATTTTTTTGTATTTTTTTAAACTGCCAGTTTTAAAGCATCTGTACTTAACACTAAATAACAAAGCAAATTGAATAAGACCCCGCTCACATTTTCATACTTTCCTCATAATCACTCGGGAAGAACTTCTTTAAACAATCACACAAATCTGTTGTGTTGCTGGTTTTTGAGGCACCGACCCCGCCAACATACCTTACACATCAGTGTAATTCCCTGACGTCACTCTGGAGATACCAGAACCACCACCACACAACCGACGATCAATAACTTCTCTTCTGAACAATAACATCTTCAGAGGATGACTCAAAGTCACGGCTCACATCTATTTAGCTGCCCTCAGCTCCACGTTCAGTCTGTTTACTTTCCGACAACTTACAGAAGAGATCAGGAAAAGATCGACTCTGATTGGCTGTTGTCACGCACGTCCTCCATGTTTGATCGAGTAAATATGCTCACAGCTAAAATTTATCACGATCATATAATCGCCCAATCCTAACAGAGATCATAAGAACGACACCAACACTTGGACCAGAACCTGGGGTGTCAAAGTCACAGCACTGCTGCCCTCGAGGCACATCAGGTCAGAGTCCTCTTAGATCCCTGAAGCTTTGGTTAAATTCACTGTCAGCATCACAGTGACAGGCCGAGTGGCAGTGACACCCCGGAGGGCGAGTCTGTGGAAATGTCGGCGATGACACAGCCTGTGGATCTTCACAGAGTGGATCTGAAAGGTGACTCGGCCCTCTTTAATATATTCTGGGATCTACATTCTGGTCCTCTCAGTGTTAACGCCGCAGCTGAAGATAGAAAGTGAAACACTCCTGTAAAAAGCCTCTGAACCTGACAGCGTTACCTTTGTGAAGTTGTTCAGGTGGCCCAGTTTTCGCATGTTACTGACTCCGTGTGGTTTGGCCACATTTTGCAGGATTTCACGGAAGTTTTCTGACGGTTCTGCAGGAGACAAAAAGGGAAATACAATGTAACCAAGACAGCCATGAAACCGTATTGTCATAATATCAGTCGATGAACCGTGTTTGATATGTTGCAGGAAGGAAGTTGGTTCTTCTGGACAAACTCATTTAGTGTGTACAGTCAAAACAAAGTCCAGACAGTAAAACACCAACATGAGCGGGGAAGTGTTTTTGGTTTTCAGTTCCTTTCATACCAACGATAACACCGACTCTCCACGCCAACGACAAAGAGCTTTCAGAACAGGGAAGAGGTAGTCTGACATGAAATGAGCTCCAGACTCTGGACGTGAACTACGAGATCCACGATACAGAAACTACAAATGAATCAACTTCATGAAAGTGTGCGAGTCGAGATAGTCTGATTTACTATAAATCTATTCAATAGTTACGATCAGCCATAAATATTTATGTCAACTTTTTACCTCATTATTTGTCAAAATGGAGAGTTTAGGGATTCAAAATATTGAACTTTTATTTGTGCTCAGAGATAAGTGTGAAATTTCAAGATTAGACAAATATCAAAAACACCAAAACAGTGACACTGAGCTCTGCTTGAATAAAACATGTCGATCATTTCACTGAGTCTGTTAATAAACTAAAGTACAGGCTGCCTGGAAGCTGGGGACACAACTGAATTGGTCCCACAGTATGATCATTTCTTTATCATTTCATTGAAGTAATAATCATCATATTGATCATTTTACAGACGCGGTAGTTCTTCTGTCTTAGCGTCTCGGTCTGATTGTATTTCCATAAAGAAATGATCATAAATGTTCTTCCTTGAGCTGCGGCACCCCGCTGTAGTCCGTAATGGACTGGCCTGAGGTCTCTCTACAAACAAGCGGCTGCTGGAAGAGAGTAGGTGAGTTGTGTTTAGTCTCTTTGCTAAAGAAATGAGTCAAAGTTAAAAAGATGTTTGGTGTCTAGTACTATGTCTGTGACCCTATATGTCCTGTTGATGAAGTTAGGTGCTGTTCTGAGCATTATTTGTGGCTATAGAGTGGCGTTTTGGTTGAGGGCGTGGCTCTCTGTATTTCTATCCTGCGGTCGTTACTAAAGTTGGTATAACTAGAGAAGCAAGCGGTCGACAACATTCATCTCTGGAGGAGGGGTCTAACTCAGTGTTACGGTGTGTTTGACCCTTAATTAATTTTACGTCAGAATATCCCTTTAACTTTCAGGTCCAAGCCCAGACATGAACTGTGCAGCGTGTGCAGAAATATTAGACGAGCTTAAGTCCAATATAAGTGTTGATATATTGAAGAGAGAGAGCATGCCTTAGGTGTGTTAGTCTGACTGTGAGGAAGTTCAGGTGAACCTGTCCCCCTCAACCAACACATATACTGATCATATCGATCACAGAGCAATAAAACTGGGCTTCACTGTGCAATAATCGGGTTTTCATATCATTCCTGTTTCATATATATCTGTATATATCACTGCCTTTTACTTTTCTTATCTTTGTGTTTTTAGTGGCTTTTATTTTGTTTTATTTTACTCAAATATTATTGTTTTGCACTAAAGGGAGCGGTGCTCAAATTTCATGCTGCTGTGTACAATGACAATAGAGGCGATTCTGATTCTGATTAGGGTTCGGTATCGAGTCTCGAGCGTCGATGGGGACCGGGACTGACATTCGATTCTCCCGGAATTGTTCAAATTTTAAAATTTCGATTCCAAGTTTCAATGCCGGAGTCCGCAGACCTGAAGAAATAACGGCGGAACACCAACGAAGAAGACGCCGAACACCAATGAGGACGGAGCGTATGAGATGAGGCCACAGAGAGAGAAGAGAGACAGAGAGATTAATTTAATATCCTGCCTTTTAAAAGAATCGGAATAGAGAATCGATGGGAATCAGACTCGAACGAGGAATCAATATTGGAATCAGAATCGGGGTAGTTCAAAATCAAACGATACCCAACCCTGATTCTGATGACAGACTAAATTCACTTTCAAGAGTGAAAAATGTTTGTTTTTTGTAAATAAATGTCTAACCTCTTCTTCATCCATGTGTTTCTAACCTTCAGACTCCATGAATTGATGACCATCTCCTCAATATTTGGTCACATGATCAATTTATTTAACAATTTACAAACATGGGGTGGATCAACTTACCCAACTCTCCTCTAAAGGTAAAATCCTGCCAGTTTTACATTCATGTAAGGTCAAATATATTCCTGACTCGATCCAAACAAACCCACCAATTCATCTGTTTCTCCTCCCAGTTCAGACTCCTTCACTGGTTTCTGTGGGAGTAAATCAGAGCTCCTCTCTCAGCTCTCTAACTCAGTCTCTCTGGTGTTTGTTGGTCTGAATAACAGACTCTGTTTCTCACTAACACCGACACCACCACCACCATCAGCAGCAGCAGATCATCTCCGTCCGTCATGGCCGGTTAGCAGAGGAGCTAACGCGGAGTCAGCTAGTGAGTTAGCCCGCTGCTGCTGCTGCTTCTGTCTGTTATCCTGGGCTGAACAGATAAAATGATAAAAGACGGCACAGAGAGGGGACTAAAGGGCCTCAAAAACAACTGCTAGGCTCTGGTAAACCCAGCTCCTGTCGTGTTGTTGAGCTGATGTCTGTGTGTTTTGTAGAAAAGCTCCTGCTCCGTGTTGATGAAGCCTGACTCACTCACCTCTGCTCAGATCCAGCGGTACGTTCTCCTCCCCGCTGTCATTCCGACCTGTAAAAACACACACCGAACACATGCTGAGGGTCCGCGACACGACCACCACACGCCCCATCACATCTACTCTTCAATTACCACATTATTAAGAGCCGCAGGGACTCGAGTTTTTCATGCTTACCTCGCATCCGAAGACTCCGGATAGGACGGCCGCGGAAGCTGGCCGCCATGTTTCCAGGAACATACACAACACCGGAAACTTCGCGGCTTCTCGCGAGAACATGGACAACAGGGGAGGTCGCGACGAAGCCGCAGTAAACGATTTACTGACCTGAGATCAGTCTGTATAAAATATACATGTATATATATATGTGTGTGTATATACAGTCTATACCTGAGATCAGACTGAGAGTTCTCAAAAATAATCAACTAAAAATATTTTTAAAAATATAGATCTCCTTTTTCTCAAGTAAAAGAGTTGAGATTTTGTACATTTATTCTGCATTAACTATTAAAACTTATAACAATAAAAGACATTAACAGAAGTTTTAACTTCAACAAACTATTAAAGGTGTATTTGTTAACATATGGAGTACCATGAATGACACTGAGTTCAGCTCTTCTCTCTGATGGATTAAGTTTTCTTGTTTTCCCTAAAATAACTTCTGTTTTTCTTTTTTTGTCTTTTCACTTTTCTTTCCTCATCTTATTTATGTTTTGGTTTATTTTTTAACAAGCAAGAGAGAATAAGAGCGACTGAAAATATGACTGACATTAAAATAAATGCCAATTTGTAACACAATTTTATTATGAGCACAGCAGGCAACAAAACTACAGAAAACTTATATCAACTGTGTCTTTGTGAAATAAGTCTGTGTTCATAAAACAGTAATCAGGATTACTTTGGTAAAAGACGCATTTATGGATCATTAACAAACACAATAAAGTGAAATCAAGAAGTATAAAGATCCAGGACTGTGGTCCATCCTGTCAACACAAAACCACTTCATAGACACAGTCTGCAGGAAAAGGAGAGAGTTGAGTTTAGTTTTATTTTTCTGCACAGAATCTTAATTTTTGTTTCTTTATTCCAACAAACATTCATCAGAAAGTTTACAAAATTATCTTCAACAGTTATACTGCCAACACTGGTCTGTTAATATTATATTTTTAGTTTCCTATGTAAGTATTAATATCATATCTGTGTAAAATAGTATTCAGATATATGAGACACAGTTCTGCTAATGTTACATGGTACAGAATTAGACTTAAGTCGTTTATTTGTAATTAATTGGAAAAGGGAAAAGAAACTGACTGGGAATTTTTGCAGTGAGTAAATATTTAACACTATGACAGTGACTGTTTTATAATTACCTGTTCATGAGAGGAGGAGCAGAATAAGGAACCTCATACACATTCTCATCTATGGAAACAGAGACCGTCACTTTAAGATTGTTTTACTGCCATCACCTTCACAGAGCTTCAATAAAGATAAAAATTATATATTTATAATAAATAATGTTCACCTCCATCTGAGGTTTTCTGAGGCAGAGGAGGAACTCTGACGGGGAGGTAGAAAAAAAGGCACAATGAGGATGTTTTGTGATGTGATCACAGCAGATACTAACGCTGTGAATTCAAACAATAAGATGTTGTTTGTGGAAGCTTGTTGTTTTTTACATTGGTTTAGAGAGATTTGGAAGAATTTTAAAGGTTTCTGATTCACAGTCCATACAGCAGCAGTTATGATATTAGCAGTAACACCGTCGACCACTAGGTGTCACCCAGACACAGTCTACTATAGAGAAACACTGGGACTTTTTCAGTGTTTCCCTGCAGATTAAATTCACACCATTATGTTAGAAAATCATAACTCCATTGTTAGCATCTATATTCTCATAAACATATATAAGGAAAGAAATATTATCATGTTTAGACTGATTAAACTAAGTGATTAAACTGAGTAATGAAATAATTCACACCTGCACACATCAGCCAGCGCTCCGATATCGTCATATTCATCCATCACACCCTCAGACTGAACAGACACAAGCGACTTCTCCACCTGCAGGAACTTGTTTCTACAATCTGGAGAGACAAACATACAGTCTGTTAACACAAAATTTCAGTTATTGGAATATTAACAGTACAATAAAGAAAAGGCAAACATGGTGCATAACTTTATGAACTTTATTTTCCTGTAACTATGCTTTTATTTTGAAGTTCTTTAAACAGTTAGAGAACAGTTACGCAGTAATGTCAGATTTTAAAAGAGTCTGATCATCTCTCCTGCTCATGTTTTAGAGACATGATATTAAGTGTAACATGCAGAGAGAAGAGGCACATAAATTTCATGCTTGAGGCAGTAAATAGTTACAGCAGGTTCAAGTCTGTTATGATTGGGGGCAGAACACTAAAGACGGATGTGTTGACTGTTTATCAGGTCAGTCATCAGAGAGTATTTAAAATCTAATTACTGTATTTTTCCATTTCCTGGGTCAGCCATTGATGAGCCTCTTGGTTCCTGATATTTCTCTTGATCGATCCTCTGAGAGCATCTTTGGGGAGGGGTGGAGGGTTCAGGGTGCAGATGTCATCGTAGCTCTCATCCCCATCAAGCCTGTGCGTAATAAAGGAACATTTCATAAACAGTGTTTTAAAACCAGTAAAGACGTGAAACCACTTGGTGTGGATACTTACAGATCAGCTGCATGGTCGGATGGTGGACCTGGACATGGACGAAGAGGAAGAGGAGGAGCAGCAGTGCGTGGTGTTTTTGTTCCAGACTCTGTCCCACAAATCAGATTTTAGTCCAACACTCTGGTACATTTTAAAACCTGTTTTACTTGGAGAAAAAAAAACCTGAAAACTTTTCTCACCAGTGCTCAGAGACGGAAAAGTCTTTCTGATCTGATGCATCACATCGCTTGGAGGTCTGCAAGGCTTCGCTGGAGGTCGTCCCAGAGCGGACACATCAGGGAGTCTCCTCTTTGGGGTGAAGGGTTTGGACTTGTGGACCTTATTTTGCCTCTGATGGAGTTCAGGAGGTTTAGAGTAGGTCACTCTTAGCTCTGTGGTCTCACAGCCTTTCTGAGCTACAGGTAGTTTGGTCCTCTGCTGCACGGTTGGGAAGGACGGACCAGTTTTAGTTTCTGGTTTGAGAGGTGCAGTAGGGCCTGGTCCTCTAAAACTGGTCCAAACTGGTTTTGCTGAGAGACGAGCAACACTGGCTCTGCTGAAAACCTCAGAATTTTCTCTCCAGGCAGTTTTTCTTGCTGAATCTTTGGTAAACTGGGAAAAGAGAGCCTCCTTCCCAGTGGATGGTTGTAATGATGTTGTCCTGAGCGATGGAGTCGGTCTGATCATGGGTGTTAAAGCAGATGAACTCCTGCTCGTGTTCACAGCAGCTGATAGCCTCCCCTCCAGAGACGCTATTCTGTCCTGAACTGAGGAGACAGGCTGTTGTTTCAGGGCCGCGTCTTTCACAGATCTTTGGCTTGAGTTGGGGCGATACATGAGTGCCAACATGAACGTTTCTCCTCTAACCTGTGGAGGAAAAATAAGTTAGTCATTTAATTTACATAAGAAGGATCTGTGCTTGTCCTCAGAGCTGAACTTTTTATTAGTGGAGGAAAAAAGTCAAAAACAAAGGTCAGTGTGTAATGAAAATAAAGACATGAATTCACACTTAAACAAAGAGCATCAGTGGGTTAAAAAAGTGAAAATACTCACCTGATATAAAAGCGGTCTGTGCTGCTGCTGCAGAGACGGACAAAAACCTTAAGGCTCCATCAGAGGAAGTTTTGGTCGCTTATCTAGTGACACAGAAAAACACCCCGACGCACTTTCTGCTCACAATCCACCGCCTCCGTCTTTTTTTACATAACTTTATCACCATGGAAGCAGTGGGAGGTCAGTCTTAGCTCTGTGTTCCTGTCACATGACTTAGTTTTGATGTTTATGAGTTTAAAAAAAAGTCGTCATCATTTCTAATAATGTTCGGATTTATGGTTTGTCCACATCAGCAGACTGAAACTTATTTAAAGTAGACATTAACTCATTGATCCCGTTTGTCAGGATTTTATTTTGAATTTTTTTCCATCGGTCATTCAGAAGTAAAACCGTTAAACAAACCGTTAGAAGGTCTAAATGTTGAACTGATCAGTAACCTGAAGAGACTCTCATGTTGTTTTTGAGTCATAATAAATCTTAAATGTCGGTTTTTTTAAAGAGTCTGATCATCTCATAGAAGGATGCTAAAGGTACTACCATGTACTTTAGCACCTTATCAATATTTCATCTCTCAACAGTAAACATTAGGAGATATAAGTTAAAGAGGAACTATTACATCAAAGTAAGTTATAAAATGAAAACATTTGAAATTAAAACTATAATGCTGAGTCTGAAAAGCAATCTGCAGATGTATTTATAAGTTTATTTACACAAAATTAATTAAAAAAAAATACATTTATTTATATTGAGCAAAATCATTGGAAACTGACAGAATTAGAGAATAAATAAAAACAGAAAAATAACTTGACAGTTAACTTTTTAGGAGAATACTAAAGTTTTTCTCTTCTGTTATCCGTGGAGGAAAAAAAGTTCTTGTACTTGTGAGTGAACTTTAAACTGAGGCTGTTATTTTTGAAACTTGATCGGGGAAAACCGAAGCCTTGTTCGATTTTTCTAACGATCAGTTTGTCACTGAGTTAATTAACTTTAAACATGGATTTTTAAACCTTTCAGGACCACGCTGACACCCAGCTCTCTGGTTTGGCGTCTTTGAGTAAAGATGAGCATGAAGCTCCAAACCTGAAGAGAGTGAAACTTTTTTATAAGCCACATCTTTAACATCTGAACCGCAGAATATCACGAGTGTTGGGAGGAAATGTTCAGGTGTTACCAAAGCTCTTATCTTTAATCCTGACAGGAAGGCGGCAGTGAAGTCACGCAGACACCTAAAAAACTCTCGAACTGGAGGACTTCACTTTACAAAAGTTCAACAGTTTCATGTTTTTTTATCTCAGTAGTTCAGTCTTTACTTCATGATTTTGTTGTTTTAAACTCTCTCCTCCTTTCAAGTATATGTGGCTGCAGATATGAGAGCGTCGATGTCCTGTATGGCTTTAGACGTCCTCTCTAGAGCTTCAGCGATGCAGTTTTCACTCACTGACTCATGAGTCACATCCTCTGCAGAGCTGAACCCCTCTGCTCTGGGTTTTTTCTCATGTCTTAGCAGGGAGCTGTTCTCCAGCAGAACTGGGTACAAACAAGTTAAAGAGCATGCTCAATATCATCCATGTAACTATGACAACCAACCCACATCATATTAGATTATATTCCCAGCAACCCCCTCGATGTGACCATCTCAGAGTTTAAGGATACAGTTGAAGCGTCTGATCTTCTCCAGCTCTGCAGCTACAAGATCGGACCTGAGTTTAAAAACAGGAAATCACACACAGGCCTTTAAATGAAGTATTTAACTGTCTGTGAAATAAAAACTAGGAATAAATTCAACTGACCGGCTTTCAAACGAACGTGTGACATCCACACGCTGCTCAGCAGACACAGGATTTCCTTCAATCATCGCAGCTTCAGAAAAACATCCACCCTGAAATCAGAGTCATGATCAGTTCAGGGGCTTCAATCCTGTGTGAATAACGCAGAGATCAGACTCTGATACCAAATCAATGAGAGCTACTTTCTCATGGTGCAGGCAGCTGGGTGTTACAGGAAGTTTACTTGACTCTTTGACCTCGTTGTAGCAGGTCAGGATCCTGTGAAACAGAAACACGATGGTCAAGAGTGACGAGATTAAACTGTTAGATCGACCCTGAGGAGGTGGTGACCGACCTGCTCGCACGGCTCACCACAGAGCGGACAGAGTACAGCTGTCCTGGTGCGTCAGGTGGAAGGTTGTCCAGATGGTAGGTTATCTCTTTCACCTGTGGGACATGTTCACTTCAGTGGGCTTCAGTGGAAGATGCAGAGCGCCTCAATTATTTCAGGATGTTCTACAGCGTACCTGCCCTGACTGAGGATCCGGTTTGTGATGAGTGAAATAAGAGCTGAGAACGCCGTTCGAGCACATGACTGATCCATCGCCAGGAGAAACCTCGACGACTGAGACGGCCCCGCTCAGGATCCTGCAGGAGGAGCATTCAGGTGAACACAGTTACAACAAAGTGATTTATGAAGTTAGTCCAAATGTAGACGTGAAGGACTTCATCGTACATCCAGCACTAAGCCTTTCATCCTGCAGTGTAAGTGTTATTAGTGTTGAAACCCTCAGTGCCTGCACACCTACCTGTATGTGACTCCCTGACACCACATCACCTTTACCAGCTCTGTGGGAAGATCTTGATCTAAGTGATCTTTTCCAGCGAGTGGATCTTTGATCTTCCACCTTTAAAACATACATAAAGGAGCTGAAATCAGTCAGTGAGCATGGCTGAACAGTGTTCAACACGTCTGATGTGTTTTATGAATAATCCTCACCTGTGCCAGTGAGGCGCAGAACATGTGAGAGGCAGCGCCTGAGGAAGCTGGGAGCTTCTCTGAATGTTTGAAGCATCAGATTTTTGGAGGAGATTGCTCCCTCTTTCCCCGTCTGCTCCGTCTTCTCCAGGTGTAGAGAGACGAGCCAAGGAGAGAGGGTAAAACCAAACAGGGTCGGGCTCAGAGGTGGAGTGATGTTGGATGACTGTAGTGGACTGAAACATCTCCTCTGGCTGTGGAGGAGAGTAAATTATTCAGTCAAAGTTTGGATTCAGGTAGAGAAGTATCATTAAGGAGCATTACCTTTGACTGAGCTGTGCTTGTAGTCCCGGGTGAGAGAGACCTTGATCTGATTGGCTCATCTCTCCTGCTTCCTCTGCTGTGATCCACGTCTTTGGTCTCATCGTTGCTGCTCAGATGGATCAGATCACCTGCTTCACGGCCTGGGCTGCTTTCAGAGCTGCAGAGCTGGTTTTTATTCTGACTGAGGTTGCAGGTGAACTGGACAGAGAATTCTTTACCTGAGGGGGACAGGATCAACACGGCTCGTCCCTCCTCAGACTTAACGATGATCGCTCCTCTGGCACCGGGCTCAGCGACGCAGGACGACCTCTCAGGCCACCGTACGGCTGAGTCGACGCTGAAAAAAGGCTGCGAGAGAGAAACACACAAAGATGGAGATACAACACAAGGTTTAACCTGTGAGCCAAAAAAAACCGATCTTCTTACCTGTCTGTGTTCAGGAGGGACGAGCTCCTCTGGCAGATATGGTCGGCTTGCATATGTGTTTCTAAATGTTAATGCAGCCAACAACAGCTCCTGAGGAGTGACATAGAAATGAAACAGAAGTGATGAAAGTGTTTATTTACACCTGAAGTATGACTACAACTTTAGGGCACTGTGTATTTCTTTATGTAAACTGTTGCTCTTAGCTCCACTGCATATATTTGGGAGGTTAAATTACACGTTATTTACTAACATTAGCCCAGTCTCTACCACCTGCACAATCAATGATCCCTGATATACTAACTTAACGTCTTAAAACCAAGACTGGGTTTGAGATTAAAGTTGACTTTGCCCCCATCTTTATTGAAATCTGATGATTGTATTTCACTCTGGTGACCACAGGGGGGCAGACCACGTGTCCATGACTGAGGAACAAAGACTTTACAAATCTGGAACTGTGTTTTCAAGATGTCTGTAGGTTCTCTACAATAACTAAGTCCAGACCTGACAGGTCTGTTTGGGTTCTGATTAAGACCCACAATACTCAGAACATCTCCCTACTGTATTATAAAGTCGGAGAAATACAAATCAGAAATACAATCAGACCGAGACGCTAAGACAGAAGAACTACCGCGTCTGCAGTGCAAAATGATTAATATGGTGATTATTACTTCAAGGAAATGATAAAGAAATGATCATAAATGTTCTTCCTTGAGCTGCGGCACCCCGCTGTAGTCCATAATGGACTGGCCTGAGGTCTCACTACAAACAAGCGGCTGCTGGAAGAGAGTAGGTGAGTTGTGTTTAGTCTCTTTGTTAAAGAAATGAGTCAAAGTTAAAAAGATGTTTGGTGTCTAGTACTATGTCTGTGACCCTATATGTCCTGTTGATGAAGTTAGGTGCTGTTCTGAGCATTATTTGTGGCTATAGAGTGGCGTTTTGGTTGAGGTTTATGGCTCCTCAGACCGCTGTGTATTTCTATCCTGCGGTCGTTACTAAAGTTGGTATAACTAGAGAAGCAAGCGGTCGGCAACATTCATCTCTGGAGGGGGGGTCTAACTCGGTGTTACGGTGGGTTTGACCCTAATTTAATTTTACGCCAGAATATCCCTTTAAGTGGTAGCCCTGCTCATTATTGTAGACTTTGTCCTGTCCTTGTAAGTGTCGTGTTAATCTACTTAATCTCCTCTTATTGCCTTTTTACAATCAAGTTTATCTCTCATTGTGGATATATACATACCTCCCCCCTCACAGCAACAACAGGCGTTAAAAATTACTACACAAAAATAGTCAATCTAGTTGTTAATGGTTTTATTTGCGTTTGAGCATCATAGAGATGTTTCACTGTTAATTTCAGTCTGTTTTATAACAATGAAAAATCCTTACAGGAGCTTTAATTCACAGCTGAATAAGTAACTGTGAGTAAAATAATAACTTCAGCGTCCTCTATCCTCCTCAGCAGAGTCTTCACTTTGACATTATTATACTTAGGTAGAAAAAACTGACAGTTAAATGAGTGTTTTATTTTTCCCAGAGCACCTTATAGTCGCTGACAGAGTTAAATTAGTGTTTTATTCTCCTCAGTGTCATTTATAAACAATGACACAGTTAAATGAGTGTTTTATTAGTGTTTTATTCCTCTCAGTGTACCTTATAGTCGCTGATAGTGAACCTCGTCCTCCCTCGGACCCTCTCGGGGGGCTGTAGAGGATGTCTGGAGGGGTCTCTGGGTTTAACCAGCATGAATTCACTTCCACACGGTGACAGCTGTAACTGAGCTCCGTTACTGTAACGAACATCCACTGATTCGTCCTCATACGTGATCATTAAACTGACATTAACATTAATTTCCATCGTTAAACCTGTTAATATGAACACACTTCACTTCCGTGTTTCTCTAACGCGCTGAAACTCAAAACATGGTGACGCATATCAACGTCATCACGTCAGACGTTTGTCATTGGCGCGCTTAGTGAGAGGGAAATGTTATTGAATTATATTAATTTATCTGATTTATTTCCTCAGATTTATTCATTCAGCAGATTACTTATTATCGTTTATATCTTAAACTTTATCAAACGTGTTTTCTTTGTAATTTTTTATCCTACATTTATCCTGTTTTCTATTTAATTTTTATATTTTATGTATGTACGAATATATGTATACGACGGAGCATTAGGGCCAAATAAATAAATAAGACTTCAAGATTAAAGTTATTAATTTATTTCTGTAAATTAATAATTTACAAAAATAAAGTAATAAAATCATTACTTACGAGAACATAGTCGTAGTAAAGTAATCATTTACGAGGGTAAAATCGTAATAAAGTCCTTCTAACCTGCTTGTTTATAGATGACCGTTGTTGAAATGAGAGACATGGAGCATTTTGTGAAAATGTACTTCAATATATGTTTTTCAAACAAGGAGATACTTCATCTTTTGGCACATCAGCACTTGATTCTTGTTAGTTATGACTTATTCTCGTAAATTAATGACTTCAATCTCGAAATCTTGTTTTTTTTCTTCTTAATGTGTCCCTAATACTCCGTCGTTATATCTATTATTTTTATCATAACTAATAAAGGAGTATAGCGGTTAATACAGCAGGCCCAGTTCCACATGTGACCTTTAGGGGGCAGCTTCACTGTGTGGTTTGATTATAGACTCTCACATAATGACGGAGAAGAAGAAGACTCGGCGGACGGTAGCGTTAGCGGAGCAGAGGTGTCGATGTTCGGGGTTCGATGGTTCCTCGTCACTTTGATAGGAAGTCAGGCAGTTCAGTGAAATAAGAGACCCTCCACACTGCGATGATTACACGGTCGATCGGGACTTTCACTGTCGACACGCCGGAGCTGCAATGAAGGTGAATATTTGTCTTCTGTTGAAGCTAAACTGAGGCTAGCTGCTGTGAGCTAATGTACCTCTGCTGCTGCTGCTGCTGTGTCGGTAATTATCCTCTGAGATAATTATTAAACCGATAACAGACACAGACTCTGACAGTGCTGACCAGAGGCATATATTAGAGTTTCTGTAGATTTGTTTGTTTCTCTGCTTGTATCTGATAATCCGCATTATTTAGATGTGTTTATATTCTGAAGCTCCAGATGATCGTTTGTCTGTTTTTTTCTGTTACTGTATTAAAGTTAAACTGAAGGGTCATTATTGTCCTAATCTATAATTAATATCAATATATGCTTCATTATAGAGAATGAAGGATCGTTTCTGTGATAACCAGTTTAACAGTATTATTAGCCATGCACTAATTTAAGATTAATATAATTACATTCATGAATTTATAGGGCTGGGCGATAAAACGATAAAAACGATATATATCGAAAATTAATTTCCCTCGATATCAATATAAAACATGATTAATATGATTTTCAGTAGTCAGCATTCTGACATGTATTGGTAGACTATACGAAGAGCCAATGAAAAAGGGAGTTGCTCTCGGATGAACCAATCATGTGCTGAATTATGCTGCATTCAGTTATCTGGATATCCGAGCTGAACATGACATTTTTGTAAAACATTAAATTTTGAAACGGTCAATGTTTGTAAGAATCCTAAAGTAGTAATAACAGATCAGAGCATAGATCAGGAGCGGCTGATAACAGCTGTAAAAGTTAAAGATGGTAGAGCTGATTTTTGAGGCTGACGTTTGTCGTCTGTAACATCATTTACCTTTACAGGTGACCGATGAAATAAATCAATTAAAGAGCACTGTCTTGGCCCCGTTAGGTCAGACAAAGTGCTGCAAGTAAACAGACTCAGAGGGAAACTCTCACTGGCAGCAGAGTTGTTGTTGCACTTTTTATATATGAATTTTATCAACTATCTGTGAAATAAAAGAGAGAAACAGAAATCAGAAAAATGCTCATTTCAGCTCTTCTAATCAGCCGAGTCCAGGTTCAAAGAGTAGGTGGTAAACTCTAGTAGAGGCAAGACTTTAAAAAAGTTAGTAAAAAAAATAGTGTTTCTATTTCAGAGCAATTCAAGATGCATCTAAAAATATCGGCATATCAAATACCAGGAAAAATCCGCCGTCATCGTGTGTTTTCTAAAGAAAGTAAATTCTGAATTGAAGGTGTTTTTTGTCACATTCAGGCAGGGGCCTCGTCTATGTGGGCTTCATGCTGTGGTTTGCTGAATGAAGTCATGGGTACTGGGGCTGTGAGAGGCCAGCAACCAGGGTTTGGGGCCGGCGCTGGACCCTTCAGATTCGCCCCCAGCGCGGGATACTCAACATACCCGCCCACCAGCTCAGGGAGTCCCGGCCTTGTTTGCAAGGCGTGTGGTCAGGCCTTCTCCGTCTTCAGAAGGAAGGTGAGTGTCTGGATGTTCAGGTTATGTTAATTTCTCCACCGACTTAATGAAGGAGGAGGAGGAGGAGGAGGAGGTGCACCTGCAGAGGCAGAAGGAGACAGAAGATTAATATTTTAGGGGGGAAGTGTTAATTACTGACTGTGGTTGGTTCTGAAAAAAAACAGAGTAATCCAGCGTTCAGCATGTGGTGACAGGATGAAGTCGACCATATTTAAGGGCAGTGAGCTCAGAGTGAAAACGACTACGAGAGAAGAAGCCCTGATGTTTAAAATATGAGTAGATCCTAAAGATGTTCTTCTAAGTCTGTCAAAAGAAAGTAAAGGTAGACATGATAACGCACTTGTATGAAGTAGAGCGTGGTTTTCTGAAGATCTGAAGCTCATAATTTGATATACACCTGGAGGCCGCTCATTTCCCCGGACAAGACGGCGTTCTGGCTGATTGCAGAGACAGATGGACGACATTCTTCTTCTCTAATGTCACCTTCAGTCAGAGCTCGTGTTCTTGTACGGCTCAGGGTCTTTTTTCCGTCTGAACCCGGCCTTCCCTCGCTCTCTGTGCCAGCCGTGTCCCACCTCTTGCATTTATTACTGTTTGATGTTAATCAATTAAAGAACCGTGCTGCCTCTGTCTCTGTGCCCGGGGAGGAAGAGCAGATGTGTGAAAAAGTGCATGAAATGTCCTCTGGCTTGGAAATGTTATCTTGTGATTTATTCAATGTTGTCTCTGATAGTTTTTAATATCATGTGACAGGACATAATTTAAATTTAAGATCAAATCTGGAGGATAAGTCATATTTTTCTTTGTGAGTTGATTTCTGCAGGAACATATGACTGAAGATTGGAAACAAACTGCCTCCTCTCATGTCGTCTTCCTCCCTCTGTGTCTGCAGTACATTTGCTGCGACTGCAAAAAGAGCTTCTGCTCTTTATGCTCCGTGCTTCAGGAGAATCTGCGCATCTGCGCAACATGTCATTTGTTAAAGGCGACAGCCTTCCAGCGGCCGCGGCTCATGCGTTTACGAGTCAGGGACCTGCGTCAGTACTTGCTGCTCCGCAACATCCCCACCGACACCTGCAGGGAAAAAGAAGACCTGGTGGACTTGGTGCTGTGTCACCGAGGCATCGAGGAAGAGGAGGACCCCGACATGAGCAGCCTCCACTCACGCTCCATGTACACACCCACGCCGTCGACCACGCAGTCCGCCTCGGAGCTGTCTGCTTTCGTGGCCTCTCAGGAGGAGCGGCTCAGCAGGAGTGACAGCTCTGATACCAACCAGGTCAGGACTCACTTTCTTCAGTGTGTAATCGTCAATAACACCAGACTGGAGCGTAGAATACTCATCATGTGGTAAAATAGTGACTTCACATGTGAGAGTCTGAATTCTCGTAGACTTCTATTTCAGGATTAAAGGGTTAAAGTTCGTGTTTCACACGTCTTCAGGTTATTTGTGTGGATCTAATCACCTTCAGACAGACGGTTTGTTCAGGCGTCTAAAATGAGTCTCCAGGAAACACATGTCATGTCAGAAATGAAAACAGAACTGAAGAGACGGTTTGTTGATCGTCCTTTCAGCCTGGATTTACTGCAGTTTGTAAAAGGACTTTTAAGAAACCGATTTGGGTTTAAGGGGCAGAAAAGGAGAGTAAGAAGAACCACACCTGGCACTGAAACAGGACCTCAGCTCCAGGCTGTAAAGATCCACTATAAATACTTGTACTTGGCCCGTTTTAGGAGCAGTAAGTCCGTCTAGGTCTGGAGACATTGTTGTTCCTGAGGCGTCAGTGGGCTGGATGAGGAGTGTCTAATCCTAATCTTCAATCAGCTGGGCGGCTCTCTGTTTGTGGTTCACACTCATGTTTGTTAACGCTGCGCTGCTGCTGCTGCTGTGTTACAGGATGGTGACGCCACATCTGTGTCTCTCCTCAACTTGGACCCCAGTGATCACACTCCTGAGGTGATGAACCATCTATGTGAAGTACTGATAGACTCAGCTGTGTGACTGAGTATAGATAGAAATACTGTAGATCACAGCTACTTATGAAAGTGCAAGGAAAGCAGTATAGAGGCTGGAAATGAGATGCTAATGCTTACAGTGTCTTTGTCGGATCTAATTAAAAAAACAATGAGACTCGGTGTGTTGGCCGGAGACGCCGCTCTGCACCAGGGTGTTTTCTCAGCAAGTGGCTTTTCGCCCTGCTGTTAGAAACGCTTTGTCGTGCAAAAAGAGAGAGTAATAAGTGTGTCTCATTGTAGATTTGAAACCTAAAGAGTATAAAAGCTGATTCATTCTTGCTTAAATCCAGGTTCCTGAGCTGTAGAGGTTTTGATCCCGACCTCTCTGCGGTTATTTCTGCACCTTTCAGGTCAGTCCTCAGACACGACGTCGGGCCAGAGCCTCGCTCTCAGACCTCTCCAGTTTGAGAGACATCGAGGATCTATCAGTCCGGCAGCTGAAGGAGATCCTGGCTCGAAACTTCGTCAACTATTCAGGGTGCTGCGAGAAGTGGGAGCTGGTGGAGCGAGTCAGCAGATTGTACAGAGAGACGGAGGAGAACAGGAAGTCGAGTGAGTGTGAAGGTCACCTCTCTGCAGTTGTTTGTAGTTCCACAGACGTTCAAATGAAACACCTTCTGCACACACACACAGTTCAGACTGTTTCTATTTTGTTTCTATTACGACGCCACGGTAACTTTCACATGTTTTTCTTGCAGTGGAAAATGTGAGCAGTACTGTAACCACAGGTGAGTCGGCCCTCAGGTGTCAGTGTCACCACATCCTGTTTTGATGATTTGTCTTTTCTCCTCATAAACGAGTTCGTTAAACAAACAGGGTCATTCAGGTTTCTCTCTCTCAGACTCACGCTGAATTATCTCTCGCTTGCTTTACTCCCCCCCCTCCCCCCACCACACATTAAAGTGGTGGCCTTCCCTCCCTCCCCTCCCATCTGCAACGGTGCCATCGGAGGTAAGGCTTGTAGATCGCTCTCGCTGTTGCCGTGGTCACGCATCATCTGTGGCTCGCCTCTCCATCGTCACGTCTGTTATCACCGTGAATCCCGCCCTAACTTCATGAGCGCCGCATTCCCCCGCTCTCTTCTGACTGGATTTCTGTTTATTTTGAAGAACTGAAGCGATTCAGTTTTTTGTCACACATAAAAACGTTGTTCCACCATCAGTTCATCTCCATCTGTCTCGTATTCATGTGTTTATTCCAGCAGCAGCGTGTCACACGTGTACTTCCGCTCTTACCTGCATGCTCTCGGTCATAGAGACGGCGTGGTTGCCATAGAAATGTCGTGAGCATGACCGGACTGAGATCAGACAAAGCTGCTCGGTGTTTTCTGACGCTCTCCTCGCTGCATGACGTTCACAGCGTCTTTGAAAAAAGCGTTTCTTCACGTTCACAGTCGCCTCACTCCTCTCTTCTTCTTCTTCTTCTCACAGACGGTGAAAAAGGCCCGCTGACGATCCACGACGACAACCTCTGCAGGATCTGCATGGACGCCACGATCGACTGTGTCCTCCTGGAGTGCGGTCACATGGTCACCTGCACCAAGTGCGGCAAGAGGATGAACGAGTGTCCCATCTGCCGGCAGTACGTCGTGAGGGCCGTGCACGTTTTTAAGTCCTAATGCACCACTGCGGCGCCGCGGCTCAAACTGAGACTGTACCTGAAATCCACCGTGCAGCTCATCACCTTCGACCCACTAAAGACTGATTTTTGTGGACGTTTGTGTTTCTATTTCTGAATTTCTCACTTTATTTGCACATTGAAATATACAGATTTTTGTTTCTCTGAAGACTTCGGCTCCTCAGTTTCATCAGTGAGCAGAGCGAAGGATCGAATCCTAGTTTGAGTCATTCCTTAAGTGAACATATCTCTGAAGCCGCTCTCAGACGTGCACTCTGTCCCATCCGATGCTCCCCGTTTTCACCACCATTTAGCAGCTTTCTTTGGCAAAAAGCACAAAGCACTTGACTTAGAATTCAGTCGTTTCCAAGAAATAACTCACGTCCTCGTGTGCACATCAGTTTTCAACAAACAGCTGATGACTAAATTCTGCTTAAATGAAATGTTTTCACCAGATACAGTGGATACACAGGCGCTTAACGAGGTCATTAAAGTCAATTAACAGACTCCAGTACAGACTTACTTTTTTCCAGTTTGATGATTTGGGTTCTCTCTCTCTCTCTCTCCATCCATGTAGAAACGGCTTTAATCCAAGTTCGTAACCCTCGTAGGTAAAGAGCCTCCTTCTTTGGCCGAAAGCTCGACATATAAAACGATCTTCTCGGACAGTAACTCTGTTCGAAACTTTGGTGAGAAGAGCACAAAAGAAAAACAACGTTAGAAAATTCACTCCAGGTATTTACTTCTGTCAAAAAACTGAATCGCTCCTTCGGCTTCTTATCCCGGTCTGAGAGTCAAATGCCATGACAGCATCAGCAGCTAAAGGGGCAGTTCAACATTTTAAAAGAAAACTACTTTATAATTAATATCAGTATGGCTCTGACGTTACCCTGTAGGTGAGCGGCGTTTGTCAACAGAAACAGCTGAGGAAACATGACATCATTACAACACTCCACGCCCCCAGTCCGATGGTGCACGTGCAAAAGTCGGGTAAATCTCCAGAGTGCACGTCTGAGAGTGTCTGAAACCCGCTCGTTCCCAAGTGTCTGTTTTTCTTTATTATTTCCAGTTTTCTAAAGCGAAGAATGTGTGGCACTCAGCCAGTCTTACCTGACACAACTGTTCACCCTCAGATCTGCCTATAAAACTGTAGCTGACACTCGGCTCTGCTGGGATCCTTCAGAGCACTTCTCTTTACAACTGCTGCAATACACCACATACATATCTTAGTAACACAGAGGACAGACACACTCAGAGGACGCTCGCCACAGCAAAGGGGACCGCAGTGAACTAGGTGCCAAATAACGGGGTCATGCCCTCATGCTCTTCCCCTCTGCTGTGGGGCGGTTGTGTGTCTGTGGATTCTGCAGCATATTTGAACAGAAAGCACTTTGTTCACACTGTGTGGTAACGCACCACCTCTCACAACCCACTGCAAACGAGCACCAGTAACGACGGCTGAGGTAGCAGGAGCACTGGGGTTCAAACCCGAGCCTGATGTTGGAGTTTGGAAGGACTCTGGTTTTATTTTTTGGTCAGTAAAAGAAGAAAAACTTGATGTTGGTGATTTCTAATGAAGTTGATCAGTTCTCTCATCATGTAAGGCATTAAAACTCCAAATGGTCAAACAAAGTCTGTCATTACAGCAATAGCTAACCTCCGCTGTCACCTCGGTCCCGTCTCAGCGCTGAGGTGCGGACGAACAACTAAACCGGTGCTAACTCATCCGACCATCTTCCTTTCCTTCAGCTGAACTGTGGATGTGAAACTCTGAATGTTTGTTTTCGTAGTCGTATTTCGTCGGGGGTGGATTGAAGTGTCTTACTGCGTTTGAGTTGATTTTCCCTCATGTAGGAGTAATGTATTAAACTAACTATTCAGAGCTATAGCTACGAGTTTACTGACACCTGTGGTATAGAAAGTCTAGAGAATAACGACTCGCTAATGTACATTTGCATATATTGATCCATATGAGATGTATATATCTATATTTTTTCCATTTGGTTTGAATTGTGTAAGATGAGACTCTGGAAATGTCCCTGAATTGGATTTCTCGATGACTGCAGGTTTGTGTTTTCAGGTGGTTTGAAATGTGTTAAATCTGCATCCATCTTTCTGTCCCTCTAAAATCAGAGCATGACAAAAATCTTGGTGATGGTTTTCCTCATCTCCTCCTCCTCCTCCTTTAAAACCCAACGATCTAGTTCTGTTTCCTACTGATCCTGCGTATTTATGAGTTTCCAGTTCTGCACTCACACAAAGACGACGTTGCTGCTAAAAGAGTAAACACATCCAAACTGACCCGAACAGGAGAGGAGCAGGCCGCACTTTTCCTTATCAGAGGGGGTTCATGTGTGCAAGCTTTGGTCTTTGTATCTGGGAATGTTAAACTTTTTATTTTGGTAATTAAAGATTTCAATTAAAGTCTGTTTTTGTACACTCATGCATCACAAGTGGTCTCCCTGTGTTACCTTGGGTACTGAATGAGAACAGGTGACATGATCGTTCCAGTACATTTGAATAAATAACACAATTTTAATCTTTTTTAATGTGACGTTTTAAACTCCGTACAGTCCTGAGCAGGTACAGAATCAAACCTCATGGATCAGATGAATTTATTTAATTAACCCTGTAAAATATTTAAAGGGATATTCCAGCTAAAATTAATTTAGGGTCAAACCCACCGTAACACCGAGTTAGACCCCCTATTTAAAGATGAATGTTGCCGACCGCTTGCTTCTCTAGTTATACCAACTTTAGTAACGACCGCAGGATAGAAATACAGAGAGCCACGCCCCCAACCAAAACGCCACTCTATAGCCACAAATAATGCTCAGAACAGCACCTAACTTCATCAACAGGACATATAGGGTCACAGACATAGTACTAGACACCAAACATCTTTTTAACTTTGACTCATTTCTTTAGCAAAGAGACTAAACACAACTCACCTACTCTCTTCCAGCAGACGCTTGTTTGTAGAGAGACCTCAGGCCAGTCCATTACGGACTACAGCGGGGTGACACAGCTCAAGGAAGAACATTTCAATGCGCACATTGATACTGTGGATCCCGGAAATACCAAGAACTTTTTGGCTTCATATCCGTATACAGGCGGTAGGCGGAACCAAGTTGTCCCTAGTGTATACAGTCTATGGCAGTGGTCTCCAGATGGCGAACCGCGGTCCACTTCCGGACCGGGAAAGAGTCCAATACGGACCCGAGCCTACCGCAGAAAAATGTATGTTTTTTTCTCTCTTGCAGGCCTGCACGATGTACGTGTGTGCGACAGTCACATCACAGAGGCTGCGATGTCGGAGGTGAATGAACTCAGTTAATTTCAAGGGTAGCTGACTGAGATACACTGCATGTGACTCTGCATGTGCTGTGCAGCGATCCACCAATCACCTTTGTCCTTTACTCAGTTGCCAATCAGACTACCCTGCCAGCTGTCAATCAAAATCAGAGAGGAGGAAACCCACCCCTGCACATGTTCTGCACATGGAGTGAGACGCGTGTCCGCTGAGAATTACTTTCGGAACTTTACTGACTGTTAAGCCCAACAAATAAGAACTGTATGGGTTTTAAAATGTATATTTCCGTGGACCACTCTACTATAAGCGTTTTGTAAATTGTAACCTTTTTGTAAATTATCTGATAATCCGGCTGCTGTTGTGTTTCTCATGTTCACCACTTAAGTTTTGTGTCTTGGCGTAAATTAATTTCATAATCAAAAGAGACGTCACATTCAGAGCGGCCTGTATTCAAAGAGGTAAAAACCACCTTCATATGTAACCTGAGCAGGATTAGAGGGACAGTCATCACTCGCTCCTCTTTCTATCAGACAGACAATAAAAGTGAGAAACAGTGACGGTACAAATGAAATCTTTATCGCGTATTAGCACTTTGTTTTTGCATTTACAAATATAAACAGTATCACATTCACCTGAGGTGATATTTTACAACACAACACACCCCAAAGTACACACAACACCTACTGTATGGAGTTATTATTATTCCACATATGCAACCGTGTTATTTGCATAATTCTGTCACTTGGTTGTTTAATAAACTCGTATTTTATTCTAGAAAGAGTTCAGGAGGTTTTCAGAGTCAAACCTCCTCGACTGAAACCACTGAGATAAATTACTGTCCATCGTTATTTGACTCGTCAGCACGAGACAAACGTCAAGTTACAGAACAAGTGAATAAATACAAACTGTAATAAAAAGAAAACAAAATAAATTAATGTTGAAACGGAGGAGAAACTCCGTCAAACACGACGATGATCTGAAGTGAGGACATGAGGGTGGGACGCAGGAAATTTGATGATAATTTAGAGAGATCATTCTGACTGTGTGTGGTTCTTGTTTGTCAGGTAATCAGGTCATTAATATTAATAATTATAATAATAATAATAACAATAATAATATCAAATTTGGCACATTGATGAAGGCAGAGGAGCGAACCGTGCCGCACAGCCTCTCATTGAAACTCCTGAGAAACCGTAAACTCATGAAATGATGCTCGTATAAAAATACTGTTTTCAAATATTCAAAGAATAAAAATTCACAACCTGACAGTCAATAAAAAAAAGAAGAAGAGGAGAAGAACAACACAGGAACATGCAGGACGTTTGAAGGACCGAGAGGCTCTGAGAAAACCGTCTCCATTCAGCGAGTTTACTGTGACATCATTTCAGAGACTTTTCACAGGAGTTAGAACAACAAAATAAAAAATCAGAATATAAAAAAACTAAATCAAACTTGTTCCATTAAGTGCAAAGAGAGTCTGCGGGTTAAACTCCTGTCAGGCTGGACTAGCTGGACTTCTGCAGCAGTTTTTCCTCTTTCAGTCTGAACGGCACGCTCACTGACATCTCTGCGATGAACCGCTCGCACGCCGTCCTGGTCACCTGCTTACAGAAGCGAAGGTCGATCTGACAGATGCTTCCACAGCGCTTAAAAAAGTTCAGGGAATGGTCCGTGACCCGGTTACACACTGACAGAAAGACAGGAGACAAAGAAGAAAGAACTGTTAGATAAAAAAAACACAGGAGGTACAAAGAAAATCACATTAGGATAAAAAAATAAATAAAACAGGAGTTAAAAGATTTCACCACGCCAACGATCCTGTGTGAGCTGTGCCTCAGTAAGCAGCTCATTTACAACTTATTTACACAAATGGAAATCGACTAAAATCAGAGAGTCAGACGATCTGTTCACAGATCCACCG